AACAAGCATTCCATCAAAAAGATGGGGGTCGCCCAGTAGGGTTCTGAGATGATTCCACAAAGCACCCACAAAAAATGATGAGTAGTTATGAACAGAACAGGAAGGAGAAGCCAACGTCCTAATTCATAACACCAATCATTGAAATTGTTGTTTTTTTTAAAATAATAGCAGCATCTTAAAATCGCTAAAAATGGAAAGAGTGAAATGAGAGTGGAATATACAATAACATAAATTTTGCAAGCAATGTGAATTATAAAAGCCAGTAGTGAGAGAATTGAACCAGTTATTGCAAAAAATAGTATTATCATTAGCAGTACCTTTAATATTTTTCCTTTAGAGACAAAATTACAGCGGCAGTAGCAGCATCCTAAAAACACTAAACTGAATAGAGTAGAAAAGAGTAAAATGGGAGCGGAATATATAATAACATAAATGATAACATAAATTTTGTAAGCAATGTGAATCATAAAAGCCAGTAGTGAAAGAATTGAACCAGTTATTGCAAAAATCATTATTGACACCTTTAGTATTGTTCCTTTAAAGTCAAAATTACAGCAGCAGCAGCAGCAGCAACTTATAATCACTAAACTGAATAGAAAGAGAAAACTTAGAGCGGAATATGCAATAACACATACGATGACATTAATTTTGCAAGCAATGTCAATTATAATTAAAGGCAGCGAAAAAATTAAACTAGTTATTGCAAAAGTTATTATTGTCATCTTTAGTATTGTTCCAGCTAATATTCGTTGCAATCTAGCTTCTTCGTCTTCTTCAGGGCCAGGTTTTATGGCGTCTTTCAACCAGTTGCGTAAGTAAAACCAAACAACAAGACTGGTTAAGAGGGACGTACCCAAAACTATGTACCAGCAATAGTCCCATATGATTACTTTAAGTCCACTATCCTTTGGGTACTTTATTGGCTGKTCCTTATCGCCCTCATGTCCTTCCACTACACAGGCAACAGTGTTTATTCGTGGATCAGATGTTTTGGAATTGACGGCGATGTCCTCGAGCTGAAAAATGGACACTGAATGAAACTATTCGTTCTGTCATGATTTAAACTGCTCTGATTGGCTGATCAATAGAAACTTATWAACGTGTGTGCCATGTTGGGTACGCGTTGCTCCAGTATATCTCACCCTTCATGATGAGTTGCCGGTAAACATAATCAGCGATTGATAACTACAAGGTGTTTTACAGGACCTATCCTCGACCCGCCTTCAGGATCTAAGGTGATGTATAGGAGCGAATACGGCCTAATTTATTTTTTAATCAAAATGTATATGTTTAGCAATTATTCGCCGAATCGCCGAAGGCGAAGTGAATATCGGGGAATATTTACCGAGACGCGAGACGCGAGACTTCGAGCGTCGAGGTAAATATTCTTAGTATTTACTGAGCCTGAGGCGAATAATTGTTTAAGCAAATACCAACTTGTGTACAGAGTAACTTATTTTTATATACACTAATTCAATAAAAACAAACAAACAGAAACTTGCAGTTTGCGTGGCAAATTCACGCAGAACCTTTAGCAAAACGTTTAGTAAAACTTTTAGCAAAACTTTTTAGTATTGATAGGAATGGCATTTACATTCATTTTTTCAATTTCTTTATCGGAAATTGTAGCAAAACGATTGCCGGCAGGTGCCATTTTGTTGCCGACTCAATATTTCGAGATTCAGAGGTGAATATCGTATAATATTCACCTCCAATTAACCAATGAGCGCGCGCGTTCTTAGGAAGTACRCATGTTGGTATATGCTAAATAGTATATTGGCCTGCAAATTTCGAATTAAGGACGATGCCATATGGGCAGGCTTTCTTCGCCTGTTTTTTTTTTTTAAGTATAAACATATTTCAAATATTGGTTCAGAGCGAAAGGCGATAGGTCATTCCAAGACGGAAAGGAATTATGGGCATTCATCTATAAACACAAGACAAAATGAACTATGTATACTTATTTCAATAAAGTTAGTCACCAAAAACCTAGAAAGCTGTGATCGCTGAGAATCATGAGGAAATGTTTTATATCCAACAAGTAATAAAGCTTTTAACACAAACTGCAGCAGTTGAGAATGTTCAGACGAGGTTAACTTGTAACTGGTAGAAGATCTCAAGTCCATCAACAGTTATCAAGCGGTTGAAACATGTAAAATGTATCTACCCACAATCCTTGTCGGTCTCAGCTTTGTAGCTTTACAGGCGACTAACTTTATTAAAATAAGTGTATATGAACTATAGTTCATTTTCTCTTGATAAACGCGAATAATCGCGATGTTTTTTAATCATGGTATTGTCGACTACAAACAACACTAAATATTTCAAACATATAAACTATATCGTGTTATGAGGAAAAGTTTATTTAAAATATGCCAAGATGGGGTTGGAGGTAATGAATATAATATGCAGTGGGGGGATAGCATACAAGGTTAAATAGTATACAAGGTTAAATTTCAATTTAATAAATTTCATGGGTTGTTTCGGGGGGGTTCGAAAATTAAAGTTAAATCCTAAAGGGGGGCCTGTAAAAAAATATGGTTTTTGAGGAGAAATCTTCATTCCCACCCCCCCCCCTCCCCCTCTAGGCATATTAAATTAACTTTCCCTTATTCACAAGAATAATTATAAAGAACCCCAGTCATTACAATAACCTTTCACTGTAACAAGCTTCTTTAAAATAGGGGCTTACCATAAACCACGAAACGAAACGAAACGAAACGAAACAATAAAATGCGAAACSRWSATTTCGCATTTTACAGATYTGTAAAATGCGAAACGACAGACTGTAACCTGAGGCTTTGCGATCTCATGTTTAACTGTAAGCTTACTCACGAAATTAGATGAAAACTGTGTAGCTCAATGTCTTAGAAAATTAGAGATTACTTTGAATCTCAGTGGGAAGAACAGTGTAAACTTTCCATGTACCAAAAGCCACAAATTTATAAACTATATTGAAATACTTCAACTCRTGTTGTTGTGGCGSCATTTTGAATGCACAGGGACCCCAATCGAATCATAATATATGACACCAGAGAAAAAATTTAGCGCCAAAGGTTTTACTTTTGAACTTATTTCAATGAGGTAAGAAAAGTATGGCGTTTAAAATTCTTTGAAGCGTTTTCCTTATGTTTTGCCGTCGAGTTATAACAGTCTGGTGCGTCTGGTGCTGAATAACAGCTGTACTAGAAAAATGTCATTAGCATGAATATCACTTTGAGTATCAATTTTGACTTAATCACATGTTTATGTTAGTTATGCATAGTTTGTGCTGCATGCTTTTCTGAGAGAAAAAAAACTAGAAATAAATTTAATCCTTTTCTCGCTTTTCTTCTTGTGGGCTTACTTTGTGCTGTCATATATTATGATTCGATTGGGGTCCCTGTGCATTCAAAATGCCGCCACAACAACATGAGTTGAAGTATTTCAATATAGTTTATAAATTTGTGGCTTTTGGTACATGGAAAGTTTAYACTGTTCTTCCCACTGAGATTCMAAGTAATCTCTAATTTTCTAAGACATTGAGCTACACAGTTTTCATCTAATTTCGTGAGTAAGCTTACAGTTAAACATGAGATCGCAAAGCCTCAGGTTACAGTCTGTCGTTTCGCATTTTACAGATCTGTAAAATGCGAAATCTTCGTTTCGCATTTTATTGTTTCGTTTCGTTTCGTTTCGTTTCGTTTCGTGGTTTATGGTAAGCCGTTTAAGTAGGACAACCAAAATTTAGACTATGGAAGATCGGGGGTTCAATTCCCACCTACATGAAATTCATTCAGAGTTTTTTTTCAGGATGCACACAGATTTCTACATTTCCTATAGCATATCTCATCACAAAGGAAACAAGGTACAATTTTGCTAATATATAGCGCCGGTATGAGTAAACGTTTGGTTGTGAACTGGGTAAAAGTTTGGTACGTGGTGAACTGAATTAAAGCGTATTTTAACTTACCGTTGAAACGATATACCTCCACATCTTAGTTCTTGCTTCGTCGTCATGTTTGTAAGGACTGTCCTTACATAATGGTAGTACAGTGATGGTCAACTCAGTCTCTCTTCTCTGGGGATATATCGTAGCCAGAGAAAATACTGTCATTGCAAACAGACTGATGTGTTTGACAGAGACATACGTACATGATGTACTCCAGGTCAACTTCATGGTATCACCATCGATTATCTTAGTGCCATTCTGGTAGTCCTTTAAAAACTGTATCGTTACTTTAACGTACAGAGCAGGTAGATCAATCGAAGGATACAAGGCTCTGGATATATTGTAGTAGTTGTCTGTCATTCTAGAGTCGATAATCGGCGGAATCTTCGAACCGAGTATCTGTACGACTTCATCAAGGTACGTCAGACATTTGGGTTCATTCGGCTGAATCGTACTATTAGGTTGACACTTGGAAGGTTTGATCATAATACCGGTTAATACAAACCCAACAAGTAATAAATCTACCGTTTGGAACATCATGATGGCGAACCTTTTATTCTCCTTAGATCAGACGCGGTTTGGTCAAAATTCTAAGAAATTGCCTAAAACGTGCCTTCGGAACCCAGAATCCGGAACGGATTTCTAGGAAATGAGGAAGTGCAACTCGTACGCACCCCTCCCCCCTTCATCCCCGCGATTATACAGTTAGCCGCTAGAACGAGTTCAGGCCGTACATAACGATCTTCTTTCTTTAAAAACGTGAAATGGATTTTGATTTTTTCTTGATATAGACTTGTGTTTTGAAAATGTAAAAGTTAAATTAGAATAATTATGCAAGATCATGGGGTTGTTTTGTTAGCTAACACGTGGCGTATGTTCCCATATTTGGTCGACATTCATGTCTAGCCACGGGAATCAAAAGAAATCCAAAGGTTTTTCATAGGTCACCGAATGTCGATACGATAGAAAATAACATCTGTTCGCAGGATTAATCTGCTGTTGGAATACATACGGACCATTAGATTTTTGAGGAATGGGGGGGGGGGGGTTGAGCAAAAACCAAAAAACATCGAGCATAGCTTTAAAGAATGGAAAAATAATCGTAAAAATATACGTAAGAAAAGTGTCAGAAAAAATTCCAAATTATGCCCCAAACAATTCCTGCACAGGCATGAGGCGCAAAAGAAATTCCTCCATAAAATAAATTGTCCAACCCCCCACCCCCCTCAAACATCTTTTGATCACCTCGCTGACTACCTTACGTTGGTTGACTTGTGCTTGAACATTAAAACAAGCAATGCCATCAAGTGTTGAATTATTACTTTAAATGACTCTATTCAAAATTCTCAATAAAACTGACAAAGTTATATTGAAGTATCATTCATTTATTAATTTTATTATTATCATTATTATTATTATTATTATTATTGTTATTATTTATTTATTTATTATTCAACGAGCTTGCATTGTGATTTTCTTCACAAGTAAAGCCACGTACCCTTTCATTGAATCAGTTTTTTCTGTGTATCAAATCCAAGAAAGGGAAAAATCAGTTATTCAGTTCGAGCTGAGGAAGCATATTAATCTATTATGAATATATTAATTAAWTAGCATAGTAATTACTGACGTCACACTTTATTGACCTTTATATACGAGATTGTTCATTCATTCTCAGGTTCTTTTTCACTGTTACTCTCTTMGTCCATTGGTTGTCCACTCGCTATTTGAAGTAARTAATAAAAAYATGCATTTGRGTGCTAAAAGTTATGTCGACTTACACGTCAGCATTTGCCGGCTTTTRTATCGTGAGGGAATGGGTACGAATTCCTGAATATTGCAATAATCGACGCGATGATTTATACAAAATCCCGAAGTTTGGAGGATCAGGTTAATAGTGATCAAGATACATACAGCCATTCGAAAAATCYACCATGTACTAATTAATACGTGGATTGGCGGATTGATATGATGATTGAAATGATACAATTAATTAATTTATTTATTTGTTTGTTTTATGGACAACCAGCGCCCAATAATTCGTCATATATCACGAGCCTAGCACTGTCTTGAGAGCGAACTTCACCGCATATACATGTATAGATAGCACATAACACATTTATTATCTTGTCAAACTTCAAACGCTATCGAGGATTGGCTGCATGATTACTCTCAGCCAATGAAAGAAATAGTGAGTTAAATGTATAACAATATCTATACCTGTACATGTACATCCGTACAGAAGATTAATTTGCTTGATATCCAACGGACTCAAATATTCCGTGTACCCTGTCTCTACAAGGGATCCATCACTATTATTCCTTGTAGGGATCAGCGTTGGGTAATTAGGGTCTTTGGCCATGAAGTAGCGACTGTAGTGCATAATGGAAGTGTAGTCGTAAGGAATGTTACGATAATCGACAGTCTCATTCCACCACTTTTGCCAGCTGATAATGAATTCTGTGCGGAGAAACCAAATGCAAAGTAAAAAAAAATTGTAATGATTTGTCTTTGCCTTATATACGCTAGTAAACTGTGCGCGTACTGTACTTGTGCAAAGAACTACTCTTTATACGATTATGTATGGTCTTATGCATGAACTATGACGTGACTGTCACTCAATCATCACATGTTCAAATTAATCAATCGTAAGAAACTTGTTGTTTTGTCTTCGTTAAATATGTAATTTTCTAAATAGCCCCAAGCTCGGGATCGTCTCGGAAATGACGTAACATTAAAAGCGCGTGTTGAAAAAAAAACGACATACGTCATCATGTGATAGGGTATTTCACGTGAAATCGCATGGAAAATCATAGTCTCCCCCACAGCCGCTTTCAGTGTCGTCACGCAACGCTTTCTCCCCTGAGTAGCTACTCAGGGGAGAAAGCGTTGCGTGACGACACTGAAAGAGTCTGTGGGGGAGACTAGGAAAATCAGTGACCCAACGTTAAATTTGCATTGAATCTTTTTTTTCTTTCTTTTCCATCAAAACACCAAATAAACGCGAAAACTACTTTAATAGAGACAAAAGAAGGCACCTATCTTATAAAATAAATAAACGATATGTTCCCGACAATTAGATAAAAATTGAGGACATTTGAAAAGCTGAATCACATAAAAATACGGGAAGGGGCACCATGAAAACAAAAAAACCTCTTGGGAATTAATCCTAACATTGACATGAGGACACTGGAACCGTGAACGCTTCGAGTTTTTTGTCCCTTTTTCAATACTGAAATTATCCTTAGAGTGCCAGCCAGGGCGCCGGATTGGAAATGAGATTTACTTTGATCAATCACTCAACTTAATGTTTCATTTTATATTGGGGACGGTTTGCAAAAGTAGAAAGTTCAGAATTAACTGATAGCCTGAAAGAAACTTGAAGTGTTCGAGTTCTTCATTTTAATGATGGCGCAACAAAATTCCTACGACCACTTATTTCAATAAAATTTAGCCACCTGAAAAGCTATATAAAGCTGAGGCCGACAAGGATTATGGGTAGATTCATTTTACATGTTTCAACTGCTTGATAACTGTTGATGGACTTGCACATCTTTTACCAGTTTTAGTCTCACCTCCCCTGAGCATCCTGCAAGCCGCAGTTTGTATCAAAAAAGCTTTACTTGTTTGAAATGAATTGCTTCCCACGATCCTCAGTGATCTCAGCTTTCTAGGTTTTTGGTGACTAACTTTATTGAAATAAGTATATAAAATATTCACCTTTGAGATACTGTATATTTGTCCAGTTAACCTTGACATAGTCATCCCTGTCTGGTCTGTTGTGTTCGTGTAGAAGCCCAACAACGTGTCCCAGTTCATGGACCATGCTCCCATTTGTACAATACAGGCCAGCTTTACTGTATGTGACGTTATTTATAGTATTTGGTAGGTAGCCAAGGGTTGCCGTACAGCTAAACAAATGGATGATTCATATGTTATGGGAACTAATATATATCATCAGTACGGCGCTTCCTCAGTAAGATTCCTTCAGCGCTTGTAATTATTAATTGGTTAACCCCATTGGCACTCTCATTTAAAGCCCACTATAGAAATAACTGTTTTAGTATATACTAATGTCAGTGTGCTTTTAAAACAGTGAAATGATTATGATTTGTTATTTTGTAACTTTCTATTTTTATATAACAATGACCTGGCAGTGAAGTATATATGTATATACAGTACCATACTTACAAATTGCCATATTTGAAATTTACATAAACCTTTTCATTGGTTCTTTTTATAAACCTGACACATGTTTTGCTTTGGACGTGTTCCACGGCTTTTGTTATGATATCTTTTACCGTCACGTTGTCTGTGAATAATACATTATAAAAAAAGAATTAAATGAAAAAGCTATTTGAAAAAAAAGAATTCAATGCCAATATCCAAACGCTTTATAATTCCACATAGCACAGCAAGCAAGTTTTTTATTTCTTTTATGAAATACGAATTGCAATAACCATTATTTTAGATAGGAATGAGGCAACTCTGAAAATGCGCGCGCGTGCTGTGTGCTTTCATCAAGCACGCGCTCCCAACCAATCACAACGCGATATTTATATCAATTATATATTTTATAATGATTTTCTTGGGGTTTGTCACAGGTTTTTTTTTACTTCTCTTGTCTACTCTTCTCTTCTTTATCATGTTTTCTTGAAGTTATGAAGCACTCGGGGGTTGCCAGAACATGAGAGAAGTGCTGCGCGTCATGTTTCTTGACATTTCGCGAGTGTTCTGCCAATCCCCAAGCGTGCTTTATAACTCAACACAGCACAGCAAGCACGTTTTTTGTTTTTCTTAAAAAAATACAAACTACGATAACCGTTATTTTGGATAAGAATGAACTGAAAGTGCGCGTGCGTGTATGCTGTGTGCTCTCATAAGCAGTTCAGCATATACCAACCTAGTGTGCTGTCAAACTGCCAGGGGATGATTCCATTCGGCCACAGCCATTCCTTATAGCTGGTCATTGCTCTTTTGGCTGCACTAGCCCTGCTTTTCCCGAAGAAATACTCTTTCTGTTCTTTTGTTAGACTCATGTCTGGTGTGGCTGTAATGAATTGATTCATCAGTGATACATCAGTCAATTTTCTTGACATCTTGGTCAGTGTTAATGACGACCGTCTTAGCACTAGTGTYCATTACAAACCTACTGAYTCTCATTCTTATTTACTCTACTCGTCYTCTCATCCTAAGCACACTCTTAACGCTATTCCGTTCTCGCAATTTCTTCGTCTTCGTCGTTTGTRTAGTGATGATCTTGATTTTTCTGTTAAATGTCCTGAGATGCGTTCTTTCTTTCTTAAGCGTAATTATCCTGCGCATTTGCAATCATCTCTATGATGTTCGCAAAAAAGTTCTAACCAAACCAGCTTCCCGCCATTTTCGTCAAGCTAACCATTCTCTTTCTGACTTCATTGTTTTCGGTCTTTCTTTGATTAACGGCAACAATGATTGTCGCAAGACCAAAGCTAGAAATGCGGCTTGTTCACCTATTGGGCACTCTTAGTAATCCCAACGGGATTAATGAAGGCTTTGCTTTTAACTAACCCACTTCTTTAATTTTGTCTTTTTATTGTTTCTTTCGTTTCCTTGCCCACCTTGTTCTCATTGGTTTCTTTTGTCTTGTTCTTAGGGACGCTCCTTTCTATCTGTGATGCCGAGTCTGGCCGGAATCAAACCTAAGTGGCGAGTGTAGTGCCTTTACTCCACCCTTAATATTTCTACATTTTGCTCAACGATTCTTGCCTCAGCTCTAGACATATTTTCTACAGAAAACTATTTGAATATAAAGCAATATTTTAATCCTGAATCTTGTCTTTTCTCTGATAATCAAGTCCAAGGCAAGGCAAGCAAGGCAAGGCAAGAACTATAACATTTAGTAGAGACTCAACTCTAATGCGATGCCATATTGAATAAAATTTAAATAAAAAATCATATGCTTTTATTTTTTTGCATAATTTTTCTTGTCCATCATTTTCTTAACATTTAATTGATAATGACTAGCACCTGAATCCTCGTTGAATTTTTCATTTTACTTTCACTAGTTTTTTGAACTCAAATGCTTTACTTTAGTTATAAACTATTGCGACATTTTAAAAGTTATTAAATTTCAATATGGTAATAAACTAGCATATATGATAAAAGTAGACGATCGATGTTTAGACGTAGACTCAAGTCATTCTTCTTTGCACATGTCCGCATCACAGTAGCCGCCATCTTGGTTGAATTCAGATTTAATGAAAGAATTTTCAATGAAGAAGAAGAAGAAGAAGAAGAAGAAGAAGAAGAAGAAGAAGAAGAAGAGGAAGAAGAAGAAGAAGAAGAAGAAGAAGAATTAAATGAAATGTATTAACTTCTTTAAAAAAATAATATAGGAAGCGAAAAATTTAAGGTAGGAACAAAGTTTCATCTTTAATACGTACCTGCATTAATTGCAAATATCATCAAGACACCGATGACAACTGAATGCATGGCTAACCTATGTGAAGGACAGAAGATAATCTTCTAAACCAAATATAAAGTCGCAATGTCTATTGAAAAAGAAAAGTAAGTGTCATCGAGAAGACTGATAACAACTAACTGAAATGCTTGCATGGCTGCTTATAAAAAAAGAACTAGACACATATCTGCGTGAACTCGGGTTTCATAGCAGAAAATCAAAAGAATTCTTCGTGAACACTGTCATCCTTTTAGATGGTGCAAAGTCTGTTAGACTTTCGGAAAGGTGTTTGTCCTTGAAAGTCAAATATTTTGAACCCACATTACCATTACCATTACAATAGATAGCAACTGCAGTACTTTGAACGCAACTGCGATTTGTGACTGAACGTCAAAAACAAAGCCCAATTTATACCTCGGGAATTTCTTTGAAAGCCCGAGTAATATCTTAGCCACATTTATTAGGTCGTAATGAGAAAGACGTTTAAGTAAAATTGCTGCCTTTTTCAATCCAAGTGTCGTTTTTAGTTCGCGTGCACCTTTCTCGAGGACAAGTCTAACCCACTTCAAAACTTGAAGTGGTCTTAAGTATATACATGTGGTTGGTCTTTGTTCAAGAAAAGAAAAGGTCACTGACCTGCTGTAAAAAAAGTCGCCATGCCACGATTGCGAAGAATTACATTGTTTTCGATAATAAGGAAAGATAAAACTGATAGGTGCATGGAATAATTAGCATTGGGATAAAGTCGAATACTTTTCTTTTAAAATTGAGTTTAGGATAGAAAATTCAGTAAATTCTAAAACATATCTCTGAATAAGTGCAATATCAATTACTGATACAAATTAAATGATAAACATCTAGAATATCAATACCCTGCGAACATAGTCTCCTTTGAACTCCTGCAGGGTAGAATATCAAATAAGATCAACAAAAAAGTGCGCTCACTAACTGACATTTGAAAATTGCCACAACAAATCAGAAACAACATTGATAAATTATTTGAAAGACTCTGTTTTTTTAATTAAGTTTCTCTGGTCCTGATGCCGATATCAAACCGCAAAAATAAATCATATTGATGCTAAACTCACACAAAACCATGAAAAGTACTTTTGTTTTGTACATCGCATATTATCAGTTTTTTCATCAGAGTAAAATTAGTTATAGTCAGGTAAAGCGTTGCTTCAAGAACTAGAATGAAGATGGAGTTCAGTTGAATCCCGCGACCCCAAGTATGAACATATTGGCGACATTCCCGCATCTTAACATGAATGAATTATTGGAAAACGATAGGAAGCCTTTGAATGTTAAGGCATGTCGTACCGTGTACGTGAAGTGAAGTGAGCATGGGATTAGCTAGCCTAAATAGTTGACTTTAACTCACCTCAATTTTACTGTAAACGCTCAATTTAAAGTAGAGTAACAATACTGAGACCTTTCTGTCTGTGATCAACCTTATTGTGTGGTACGTTAACCGAATCTAGCGCTTTTAGGAAAAAAGTTTAAAAACAAAATACTTAATGATGTTTAAAAAATGTTAATTATAAGCTAATCAGAAAGTAATGCGTTGTTAATTTTCTAGTATTTTGGCCATTTAAATTCCAAAAATTAGTAAAAAACGCGACTTCCATGCACGCAAGACAAAAAAAAAATCATTAACCCATTCTTAATTAAGAGGAAAATCTTTAACAAAGCGAAAGGATGGTGTGGAATTTTGGAACATTCCATCCAAACCTTAAAATCTTATCAAACCTTGAAATGACCGATGGGGTTATGTATATCAGGGCTCACAGATCAAACCCTGAAACAACCTCTGGGCTGATCAAAGTCAGGGCATGGATAACTAAAAGATCAAACCCTGAGACAATCACTGACTTGGGTTGTTCTGAGTCAGGGCATGACTAACTCACAGATTAAACACTGAAACAACCTCTTGGCTGATCTAAGTCAGGGCATGACCAACTCACAGATCAAAGCCCTGAAACAATCTGTGAGCTAATCAATAAAGTCGGGGAACGACTAACGAACTCCTCAAGTATGTTTAAAAGGCCTGGGTTGGAGGCCATTTATGGCTTGAACCAAATTAATGGGGCGATGGTTATCATCTGTACATAAAATGCATATAAACCTGCCTTAACACCTGAACTATCATTGCTCGTTTATTTTAATTAGGTCAGGTGACCTGCTTGTCCAATCAAATATCCCCCGTGAGTGATGGTAGTTCAGGTGTTAGGGCAGTATCATATATACCTCTTACTAGGAACAATGAAAATATATCATTTATGTCTATTTTAAAACATTTTTCTTCATTTGATTTGGCAACTTTATTCAGTATTTATTCTCATTTCTAAGTTCCTTTTTCCTTCTAATTATTTTATTTTTACACATTATACGCTTTAATTTATCTTTTAATGTTTACTTCAGTCTTTTATTTCTTTCCCATGATGTATTGTCAACAGAGGTCTTTGGTTTTTCTTGATCTGTCTATGATCTTCAAGCGTTAATTCGTTCCTTGAATTAAAGAAATACAGTATTTGATACAAGATATCAGTATATAAAGAGGATATTACATGGGCGCGAGGAGATATGAAATTTATCTTCGAGTGTTGAAAAGATCTCTCACAAGTGAGCGTAGCGAACGAGTGAGAGATTTTCAACACTCGAAGATAAAATTCGTATCTCCAAGCGGCCATGTAATATTCTGTTTATTATATAATTATCAATGAAGTATGTTTTGGCTTTTTCAGGCAATTCTTTCCGTGTATTTTTGAGAATAGCCATCGCAATGGTGTTATTTTCACACGTGAAAATAACATGTTATTTTCACGTGTGAAAATATCAATTTTTCGAAATAGAGAAAAATAGATATTTCATTGGTAATTATATAATAAATAGGATTCTTAAAGTCTTTAATAATTCATGAGAAAAACTACCAATCAAAAACGTTGAAATGATCATGTGATGTCATCTGTGTATCCAAATACAGATCAACAAGTTGGGGACGGCATTGAATATTTCCCAGGGTAGCGCGGGACTGATGTAATATTCACGTGCTGACTGCAGTACGCTGATTGACTGATTCAAACTTTTGATATTCATGAGTTCTGTAACAGATATTCATGAGTTCTGTGACAGATATTCCTGTGTTCTGTAACAGATATTCCTGTGTTCTGTAACAGATATATTCGTGTTTTGCAACAGATATTCCTGTGTTCTGTAACTGATATTCATGAGAAGATATAAAATTCATGAATATCAGTTTCACATTTATATGGATATCATTTACTAAACTAAATAATATTAGCTATGATTATTACGAATATTTGCTAGGATTTTGGTTGCCTTCCGAAATCGAGTCATCGAGACTCGTTTGCCAGGCACAATCAAGAATGAGATAGAGTGAGATATTTTAATTACGAACCTTTTTATAAAAAATACAAAAATACCCTGAAATACAGTTTACACGAGGGAGGCAATTATCCCAACTTCAAAAAAAACTCCACAATACATTGATTTGTCTTATGTGTATGAGAAAATATATGAAATGTATATTTGTACTGTGGTTGTGATGTATCAAATTGAGCTGATCCTCGCAGTATACGAAGCATCTTATGCAGCTACAAATTCAAAAACTCAGAAAAAATTCGGAGTCTTGAACGGAATTTGAACCCTCCCCTCAATTTAATCCTCATAGTTTGCTTTGTTTGAAGCTATACCTGTCCAATATATAGACTATAAAATACCTTGACATCCATAAAGAATGTTAGCTTGATGAACATCCAGATCAGTCAGATGCCGAACTTGACCCACTATGGGGTCCTTCCCATCAGGTCCTTTCTTTAAAGGTACTAACAATGGGAGAAGATTTCCGCTTGAAGTTCGCTTTGAGCCGCTCCCGGCATACCGAGGGTAATGCATGAAGGTGGAATAATCGTACGGCGAGTTTCTAGAATCAATATCTTGTTTTTTTCCAAAATTAGGCTCTATATATTCTATGGGGGAAAAAGAAAACGGTACTTACTTCTGAGGTTGACTATGCCGGGAGAGGAATAGGTAATAACGACCTTAAGATTTGCAAAATCTATGACAGTGACGTCAACCGGAAGTGTAAAAAACTTCACTTTGTGTTGTCGTGACTTCAAAGTGTGTCTTCCCTCTGGATGAGTTTAGTTTTACTGACAATTGTTTTGAATGAAATCTCCATTGAACAGAATTTAACCCCCAAAAAAATTATTTACACTTCAGTTTGACTTCTCTGTCGTAGTAATTAATAGTACTTATAGGGAAAGGAAGGGAAAGGGAAATAGGAAAAAAAGGCAGTGTATGTGCATTGGGAATTAAGGATAGCGTGGATCTTGTGCGATCGCCTATCAACCCATAAATGTCGAATTTGATTTCTGGACTCGGCATCACATGTGAGTAACGTTAAGTTTTTTTTTTCGGTTTCTTTCTCGACTTTCAAAATTGAGCATCAAGAATCTACTTCCTTTGTCTTTTTTGATCAGTATTGTTCCATTGTAGAACCCTGAAACAAGCCTTGGGTTGATCTATATGACAGGGCATGGCAAACTCACAGATTCCGTGCCCTGAAACAACCTCTGGGATAATCTACGGCAGAGCAAGGCTATCTCACAGATTGAACCCTGAAACAACCTCTGGGCTGATCTAAATGTCAGGGCATAGCAAACTCACAGATTGGGAACCCTGAAACAACCTCTGGGTTGATCTATATGTCAGGGCACAGCAAACTCACAGATTGGGAACCCTGAAACAACCTCTGGGCTGATCTAAATGTCAGGGCACAGCAAACTCACAGATTGGGAACCCTGAAACAAACTCTGGATTTTATTCCACAGGTCGTGTTTTCGTTTTTAATTTGTTCCACACAATCGCGATTGTTTCTTCACATCAATAAATATTAATGCATGAGTCTTAAAAGGGAACTTAGAACAACTTACATGAAATATGTGATCCTAACTTTAACACGTCCCAAAAAATCTCAAGTAGCTTAGTACTAACGTAGTTACTCTATAAAGTTGAAAGATTCACGTGACAAATTAATTGAATAACTTACTTTTTTCTAGATCTATATTGTCATAGCAGATTTTCACATATTCATCCCTGTCCGGTCGTACATGTTCATGATAGAATCCAATTGCATGTCCAAATTCGTGTGCTATTTCAAAATCAGAACACCAGAATGTGTCTGGTGTCCCCACCTTCACGAACTGTTCTCCTCCCTTGCGACCAATTGCTTCCGACTCGCAACTAAATAGAAAAATACAACAAAAAAGTTTACTTTATTTGATGCCAAGGTGACTGAATATACGTTGACTGACTACTTTAGCAAAAAAGTAGCTAGGAAAAGTCAATTTGAAGGAAAGCTTGGGCGGGTGTCACCCCTTGCTCGTTTATCGACTAGATCTTGAAACTTTATCATTAATATCTTGGGTTTAAAAAATTTGATGTACAATCTTTAAATTGTTGAATTATTAAGCTAGTTACCTAAGAAGGTAGTGACCCCATTCCACCCCACTGCACCCCAATTTCCTCCCTCCCTCGTTATGCCTTTGTGGTGTGAAATTTAATGTATTTTTAAGCTATATTGAATGCATCATATCATGTCAAATGGCAGTTTCTTCGATTTGATTTTGCCATGATATATGTCTGGTTCTTATGACTCAAAAGCCATTAAACTAGTACCAGAGACTGTTTTGCCAATTTCATCCTAAGACTCATGCATTAGCATATAGATTCGTCATGAAGAAGGTTTACAAATGTGATCTTAAGGACGTTCGCAGGAATATGAAGTTGCAATCAGAATTTTTTAAAACTTGGCATAAACATACCCCAGCATATTCTTGTTCAAAAAATGAAATAAAATAAAAAAATAATGAAATAAAAAATGGGGGTCACCGAATCCGCTTTTTTTTTTTTTTTTTTT